ATCTGCCTATATGGAAGGAAGCATCGTGATTGCTTTCGGAGGAGGATGGGTCAGAGCATATAAAATTATACACAGTAATTTAAGTCCAAAGACACGTGTCACAGTGGTTAAAGGTGCTCTGCGACGCATACATAGTCAGTGGTTCAATCCATCCACCACGGTCCGCTAGTCGTTTTCCATCCCCTCCTGGTCGACAAAGTGCTACCAGAATGCCAAGATCTTTATCCTTTCTTCAGCTTTAGATCCGCTTATTTCAAATTATACACACTACCTCAAATGCACCTGGAAAAGCTTCTCTTCTACGCACGATTCTCTCCAGAACCACTGGTTGCAAGTGTATAACTCCCATACCAAATATCTCATACCAAATGTGGTTCAGGAACAGCTATTTCATAGACATCCTAGCCTTGTAAACAGAGAGACGCTAATGGAGGGTTGTGGTCCCAAGAATTTTTTAGCCTAAGCGTGCTCTCATAATTTCTTATTCAGAGAAATCAGTACTAAAAAATCTTCAAAAATTGATCCCACCACAACTTTCCACAAGGGCCTTAACAGACCACTAGGAAGATTAGTGGAACAGGTTCGTCGGTCAATAACATTGAGGTAGTCAATTCACTGATTACCGTACAGGGACAATAAATGAGAGGGTAGGGTGGTTATCCCTTCTGCATAAGTATACAAATCCCTGTACAAATTTTTGCTAACTTGACCAAAATCTCATGAAAGCGTTGTAATAAGCAGAAGAGAAGGGTCTTTTTATCTCTCTATCTCTCTCTCAGAAGATATTTTCCACCACTGACGACTCAACTGGCGTCGCATAAAGTTGGAAATTTCTTCTCGTCCCTGTCGCAGACAGCAAAAAAAAAATGCAGCCGCGAAGGTGTAGTTTGCTAAGGATTCGGATAACCGAAGAAGCATGTTTAACCTTCTCTAAATCAAATTCTTATTATTTAATCGCTTTTAGCAGTGGTATGATGCTGTAGATATATCCAGTGACGTGTTAAGTGATGTGCAAAACTTTCTCGTTAGGCGGGACTCGAATTCGCATCTCACTCTACAACAAAGGCGTCGGTAGTGCAACGGATTAGAGCACGCGCCCCCGATTTAGGTAATGTATAGGTTCGAGTGGTGGCTTACGCAAAAGTTTCGCACTGAGCTCACATCAACACACACTCAAGATCACTGAGCATATCTTCTTAGAATCGATATTATGGTTTTTGTTCTATGAGGCTTTCCATACCTCAAGCGCTGCTGAGCAAGAATTCTCGGTAGTATCACTACCAAAGCAATATTTTTTCATTGAAAATGTGTTTTTATCAACAGATCAGCACAACAACGGAAATAACAAAAGAACCATGGAAACATTTAATGTTCCCAATCATTGTAGTAAATGAAAACTGAGAACATGCATTATCACACTTCACTTTCACTGTTTCTCAAAAACTCATAGTAAACTGAAACAACGAACGTAGGTAAGTTGCAATAAAAAAAGAGATTGTATATACAACCCATTACGAAACATTGTCAGAAAAATCAGAACATACTATTTATACAGGTCTATACTTATTCCCGTTGATAACATTCAACAAATTTAAAACAACCAACGAGTCACTGAAGATGGCTCAAAGTCAAAAACACTCAAATTACTATGTTAATGAGTCAAAAACAGAAACAATGAAAATCAAAGGCTACCTGACGTGCCTTGAATTTACAGCACTCAAATTTAAGGGACCCGTACAATCTAGTAGAAAGCCGGTAGTCGTTGAATTTGTACCAGATCATCCATTATATGATATCTGAAGCTTACGATACTCATATATAAACAAAATTTCAACTAAAATAAATGTAATAGCGCCAAAGAATGAGCTGCTTACCGGCTTGCACCAAGACTTCTGGCCAAATCTTGTTTTCGAGTTGTTGAGAGATGCATGAATTGCTCCACCAATTCACCATCAACCATGTTCTTCTTGTTGGCTGAGTTAATCAAAGGGCGGATAGGTTTACCTCCACGGGCACCCTGAGAAATAAACTGACAGCTGTGAAACGAAAAGTTTGTAACCTCTAGGAAGATAGATAGCTACTCAGCACATAAGAAAGCTAATTGGATCCGTAATGACTGGGCACTTAGCAAAGATGAAAATACTAAAGTTATTTATAGCTACGTGCATGCAGCACAGTGACTTGTGTTCACTGCAATACACACAAACTGTTGGTTCGATCCCATTATCCAGACTAAGAAAGCTCCTCGTCTCTCCGCATTTGGTAGAGTGATATTACAATTATTAAGGAGTTATTAAACTCTGACACATCACCAGACCAATGCAAATGGTTGTACAGGCCACAGTGCGTTCGCACCTATATAGTGCCTGGTGTAGTCAAACTGCGGCTATTTAAGCAACCTCGGTTCTTTTATGTTATCCGGGAAGAGATGAATATTTGATCCTTTTCGCTAACTCTCATGGTCTTCAAGGACTTATATTTTGATATGAACAATACTCATCGTTGCAATCTTTGTCAGTAGTTATGCGCATTGATTTTAAGTGATCTTCACAATTCCTCCTATAAATGCCTCTTCACAAACCAAGCTCAGTATCAAAAAAGAGCATTTCTCAAGCTATCGATGATTACTAATAATCTAGGAGAATGTTCCTCTCCGGATAAACCAAGGAAACACGAGTATAACGAACGTAATGCTACTACAGCTCTAATTTGTGGTAAAACGTAGAAAATTCTTGAAAAATTGAGCGTTCTTCTCACTAAGAATACGTTTACTCGAGTTCATCCAAAAATCAGTCTATTTTTCGCGGCAACAAAATTTGCTTAGCACCAAAATCTCATTACATAGTATCACAAAATTCACTTTGAAGTTGAAACGACGCCTCTGAAATCAAAAGGTAATCTTATATTAGTAATCAAAACGTGGATGACAGTCGTTTCAAAAAACAAAATTTAGTATCAGAAGCGCCATTTGTCAAAATGTCGTGGGAAAGTGCGTTCCTTTTCAGATGGTGTGGTTTACAAGTTGGAAGTTTTTTTCGACATATGGGCGCTGTTTATACGAGGACTTCACGGGAGTCTCTTCCTGTGATAGTCCATCAATTAGCTGTGATGTCTGCTTGAAACCTAAATTTACCAGATAGATTCCCACATTTCAATTGCTAAGTGCGTCGTAAAAAACCTGGCGTTCGACGCGAAACCTTGAGAACGTGATACATACAAGTGCCATATAAGACTCAAGGATTAATCGTTCCATAAGGTAACGCTGGATTAAATGTGAAAGTGGTGAGCCCCATAACTTCGTAGTCACAGTTGGTGGGGCGGTTAGCGGTAGACTTTTGATCTAACGGTCGTGGTTTTCAGTTCTCTACGGGTTGGATGCTTTGCCATCTCACTTACAAATTAGGAGAGATTTATTTTGTATTAATCGCGCCAATAGTAGCGTTGTACTGTTTCTATTACCATAATGCAGAATCCCAACAAAGAATGAATGGACAAATGTTTCGTAGCTTCAAATGGACACTCTGAGTATTCGGGATTTGCGTGAGAAAGTTCAAACAGGAACTGACTCCCATTTTCGAACATTTAAATGGAGTTTTTAGAAATCGACTTAAGTTCAAAATGGTAGCGGAAACCAAGCAACAAAGATACACTACTCCAATTCCTTTCTTCTCATCCTTCCCATTTGGAAAAATCACTGTCATAAACATGTGTTGAACGGCTAAAAATGTGTACACACGAGAAGAGAAGAGGAAGGATTAATTTTTATCTTTTGCGCTTAAAACAAACACACTTCGCGCGAAAAATAGCCATTTCAAATTGCTATGAAACATCGGCCACTGGGTTGCTTAAAAGATAGAATTAGGCCTCAAAACAATATTTACACACCCAAATTAGATCTCTTCCAAGCTGGTCCATAAAATCAAAGGAAGTAAATAGCGCCATTTGAGAGTGCTTAGAAAGATGCGGTCCAGTTAGGCTTTCGGCAGTTATTCAACACTCACTTAACACCTTGCATCGTGAACTACGCTGCTGTCACCTCTACGATCATTTGTGCATCCCAGAAAATTATACAGTTTGCCCTAACGAAAGAGAGGAAAAATATAATTTTGGGTACAATATATGTAATATCATGTAAGGCAAGCGGGGATGAATACATTGGAAGAACGAATAGGTACTTTGTGTTCGCATATCTGGATGGTAAATTCAAAATTCGAGAAAGTACACCTCAAGGTAAGGCATGCAGATGGGCACAAAGCACAACGGTAGTGATTTTGAAGTGACTGTCATGATTCTGAAGCAGGAGTCAGGAGCATCAAAGCGCTGAAGCGTTTTGTATGAACGTTGAAATTTGAAAAATAAACTGGAAAGACGAATGCGTCACACTAACATGCAGCACATGGCGCTTCCTCTTCGGTTAATCTTTTAAATCGACACGAAGGCGATATAAAGGGCATTGATCTTCCACTGAATCATTTGGGTGGTCTAATACAACGCGTGCCGAGGCTTGAAGAAGGTGACGTTAGCAAAAGGTCAGCCATCAAACTTCAATTTCATAATGTATGCGGTCTAACCGAAACGTTGGTGGCGCGAGCACAGCCCGGAGCGGAACCTTTTTTGAAAGCATGTCAGCCCTTGAGGTAATTTGCTGGGAGGTCTGAGAATTTTACAACAGGAAACCCATCAGCGTGTTCTTCCATGGAGCAATAAGCAGCGAGTTCGGATTTCAACCAAAAGGTCGGAGGTTTGAGCCTACCCGGTAGCGCAACTTTTTCCGGAGAAGGTCAGTATTTGAGTTTATTTGCTAGAAATTTCGAAAATCTCGGGACAGTAATCGCCACCACCCATGCTTCCGTGGCGCAATAGGCAGCGCGTTCGGGTTTTCACCGAAAGGTTGGAGGTTCGAGCCTACCCGGGAGCGCAGCATTTTCGGAAAAGGTCTGTATTTGACTTTGTTTTCTGGGAAGTACGAAAATTTCGGGACAGTAATCACCACCACACATGACTCCATGGCGCAATAGGCAGCGCGTTCGGTTGTTAACCGAAAGGTTAGTGGTACGAGCCCACCAGGGAGCGCAGTTCTTCTGAAAATATGATAGCATTTGAGTTAAATTGCTAAGAAATTAACGAAATTTCAGAATAGAGGATGAACTGGTATAAGCAAATTTATCGGACGCAAAAAGTGCTGGGATGGACAGATTATTATAATGACGGTATGAAAATAAAAAATGTGCACTGGTTTTTTTTTTTTATAGAATCTTTACTTATGTTTATGATGCTATGTGATTTATTTATAACGTAATTTAGTTTATGAAGAACATATTCTGCTGATGAACGGATGACTGTGGGCTAGTAGTGTTCTAATAATTCTACGCTTGAAAGATTATGTTCTCGGCTCTGTGGGCGCTGGCAGAACATGCTTTTTTTTTTTGGGAACTGCCCGGCAACAAACAGATAATCAAAAAGGAGTCCACGGGGAATGGCTTCGAAAGTTGGTCGCAGCAGTGTGAGAGAAACGTCGGAAACGATTCAGCGTCTCACCTTTCTCCAGGATAACGCTCGACATTACATTGGAAAGTCAACTTGTCAAATTTTTGAGGTAACTGGGGTGGATCACGGTACAATTTTTACCGTATAGCCCTAGTATTGCTTAATGGGAATACGAGAGAGAAGACAATTTCAAAACTACAACCAGCTTAAAAATTACCTCAGTAACATCTTTGATTGCCAGTCTCATTCTTTCTGGGAAAAAGGTATCTGATCTTTGCCAAGTAGGCGGTAGATGCGGTAATATGTTGTTATACAATTTATTGTCTTAAGAAGTGAGTGACCTATGCTTTATGATCGCGGGCTTGCTTTAGAGACTGGCTTAGAACCAGCGTTGGCATAGCTCACTCTGCCAGTGGCAACGACCCCTACACACCCTCCGTCTGGACATCCTGTTGCTTCTCGTCTTCGTGCAATACAACTACATTCAACACTATCGTCGGGATCAACAATAGCCGATCTTAAAATTCACGGAGTTTGATAGTTCTCTTTCAATACCCCGGTAGAACGGTAACGGAAGCACTGGATGCGTTAGCGGAAACCTTACTAATGCATGGATCTCATCATTGTAAAAAAACCCTTAAATATCCAGGTAGCCTTGAAACTCGAACTAATATCTCATCAGGATATAATGTATGTGAATAAACATTTTAACGGTAGCAGAAATTTTTTCTTGACTAAGATGATGATCTTTGAACAACGAACACATTTTTCATGTCTCATCAAAAAGTTAGTGTCAAAATCATTTAATACTTCCTTTTGACAACGTGTCACCTCTCATTTCCACTTGTCTATTGCACTAGTATGGTTGGTCTCTCTTCATTTTACCATCAAAATATGATGAAGCTGTAAGATTTCTGTCGTTATCCTAACAACATAAGGTAATGAAAATACTCAGTGAGCAGTCTTGCTGGGCCCTGCTTTCGGTTTTTTTCATGAAGCCGTATTTTGAATGAGGTATTGAGCCTGGGACAAGTTTTGTACAACGCAAAATTATAAAGGATAAAAGATAAAGCTCTCGGCGATTAGCAGTCCCTGAGGGATGGATCATGTACTCGCCTTTAATTTTTGACTTCGTTTGAGGTAATTGAATGTATATCTGACCTTTACAATGACTCGTAGTGACCTACCGTTGTATCGAGTCAGTGCTGCTTATCCTCCTAGACAAGCCTGAGACCAGTGTGGTACCGATTAATCAACTTCGGATGGATGGAAGGCTTTGAGCCATGAGCGCGAGATCGAACCATTGAACTCGTGTACGACGCAAAATCATATGTACTAACTATTGATTTGTCGATAGAATACTTAATATTTCACCGTATTTTATCAGATCCCAGAGTTTCGTTCCGAAAGAACGGGTCTGACCTCACCTTCTAGTTCCTATTGGAAGGCTTTGGCTTTCCTATGAACTCTGCTTCAAAAGCGCTCATAATTTCTTATGCAACTATGGTGGCTCTGTTTATGCTCTCCAGCAACATCTTGACATAGATATAGTGGGTTTCTTATTCGATAGACTTATAAACTCGCGCTCTCATAATCTCCACGATAGTCCCAGATTGAACGATGCGTTTACTTACTGAAGAATGTGCACCTGGTCCATATTGTTCTTTGTTGGTGTTATTGCTGTATTTCTCACATGCGAAAATCAAGAATTTGACGCCAAATTTTAGCAGTAAACGTTGGTACTCTGTAAGGCGTTTTTTTGAGCAAGATGAATAAGGCTCAAATAGTCTATAGAACTACTTAAGTGCACATCTGAGTATTAGCTTACATCCTTCATCTTGAAAAACAAATTCGACTAAATCCCAAAAATTGTATTCAAAGCTTGCTGTTGCCAGTTGAACAGATTTGTGGTGAGCATTCGGCGACGTTATCAACAACGCGGTCGGCGAAGTTTAGATACTCTCTGCTAAAAGCAATGACTCATTTCTTAGTTTCTATTCCAAAGATTGAACCCACGGTAGTGACTACATGTATTTGTAATACACGTGAACACTTGATTACTAACTTGAGTACAAACTGATGACCTTAGTGGAAAAGTATAAATTAAAGCACCCTCATATTCAAATGTTTCTTAAGAACTCGCTTGAAATTAATACATCCTGACAGCCTGTTTTAAACCTTTCTTGAGACCTGTTACGGCACTTATACGGTGCAATACACATGTTTCGGCCTTGCAGCTTGGTAAGTTGCACACTGCCCATCGCCTGTGCCAATCCCTCTCAGGAGAGAACTCCTCTTATAAAGAGGAAGCGTCGACGAACGCGTTTACATCGCTTGTTAAGTGAAGTGCTTGCATGCTACTGGACGGTCATGTGATGTGAAAGAGTAAATACGTTGTTAGAGCATGCAGTGATACTAGAAGACATTGCTGGTTATATACTGTGCGTGTTAGCAAAGAACTCAGAATTTAACCCGAGCAAGGAAGTTGGTGAAGCGTAATAACTTGCTCTCCTACTGCACATAGTTGCTGGTTCCATTACGCGTCCTGGGCTAACTAAACTTCCATTCATCACTTAATCGCTAATAAAGCCGACCACTTGAATGATTTAGAATGATTTTTGAGACTTATGTTGCTTAGCCGACGCGAGGTTGGTTGCATCACTAATTGTACTATTAGTAGTAGTAGTAGTAGCAGTAATAGCACTTCGATGGCTAATGCTTCGGTGGCATCGTCTTCTTCAGAGCCTTGTAACGTACGTAGTATTAGACTATCCGAATGATGAGATGCATTTGATGCCTATTACATCGCCCTTGCGGCAAGTCAAAAAAATCAAGCGGAGAAAGAAGTCTTTTTGAGCGCAATAGTAGCGCAATCGTCGTTCCGTTACATTTTTGTAGATTTTTAGCGTTTAAGCAAGATGCTTTGAGATTTTGCTCCATGATGTTTTTGATTGTTGCACCTGGATTGTGACAGTCACTTTCAAATCACTACCATTGTGCGTTGTGCCTTTTGTGTGCTCAGAGGTGTACTATCTGAAATTTTGAGCTTAACATTCAGATGCTCTTCTATGCGATCACAAACTGGTCTACTCGTTTTACCAATGCAATATTCATCCGCTAAGCTATTTCTCCCCTCTTCTCCTATGCCACATTTTAGTCGTTCGGCGCATGTTTTTTACAAGTGTTCTTTCATGTGTGAAGTATAAGAGGAGAGTAAGTGGACTAGTGTATTTTGCGAGAATGGAAGTCAGTTTCCGTCTAGACTTTCTCGCGTAAATTTCACATGCCTTGGCTTTTCATTTGAAACTTTAAAAGTCTCTCCGTTTACCTCGTTATTGGGTTTATGATTTGTGGTATCAAAAGGAGAACAGCACTGCCGTATGTTGTGACTAATACGGAATAAATCTCTCTTGATTTATAAAGTGTGACTGCAAAGCGGTCAGCCCGTAGGGGACTCGAACACCTGACCGTTAGATTAAAAGCCCAACGCTCTACCAACTGAGCTAACCAAGGCTCATGTGACCCTCAAATTTCACACTCAACATAACAAAGAACCTTATGACACTATTAATGTATAAATGTGGTAGCTTTTCACTCATTAAATGCATTTGTAGTGATAACATTGAGAGCCAGTGCGCGCTAAAGTCATCAAGATCACCATGTCGCTGCCGGATAGTCTGCATTCACTCTTAGACTTGCGCCTAGTCATTCAATCAAAAAACTATTCCTTGCAGGACTGCGTGTAGTCTACATGAGTTCAAAATTAAATGCATTACAAGGCTGACCTAGAAAGGTTAGGTAATGAAGAGCAAAGAGAGGTACTACCGCTAACTCCATTTCCGCGAGCTTTCTCATTGAACAACCAAATGACAAAACCACTTTGTCATTTATCCTCGAACATAATTCTCTGAATACTGAGTCAGTGTCGAAATAGAAAATTACGCTCTAACTTTGAACATACTTTCTTAAAGATGAAGGCGGAAGTTACTTCTCTAGCTCATCGGCCCTTGTACTTCTTTTGAAGGACTGTCAATAATGCAAGACATTCCAAATACGATTTTCCGGTACTTTTCCGTTTGCTAGCACAAGATGAAAAGCGATCTCTTTCGCTGGACAAGAAATTTTTATGAAAAAGTTAGTTATCATGAAAGCTTATATCTTTAGCTAACGCGGTACGTGAACATTTTAGGAAAACTCTCTTATAACGTCTCATCGATGGAAAAACGTTTGTGTTTCACATGAGCAAATTTCTCGCAGCACATAGCTCTTTCTATACATCATTAATGACCATGTGAAGTGGGATTTTTGTTAGTAAAATGAAAATTGTTTCTCCGCCTTGAAGGAAACTCCACATCAAACGTATGACTCTGATGAAACAAGATTTCCTCCACGAGTCATATGCTTTTCGTTCTTCCAGCGAAGTAATAGTAATATTGCGCAACCGATGTAAAAGATAGATTTACTTCAAATTTTGCAATGTAGTGAAAGGGTGTTTTGGATAAGCAGCCACGTATTGCCTTAGCTAAAGATATAAGCTTTCGAATGATAACTAACTCTTTCATGAAAAGTTCTTGTCTAGCGAAAGAGA